TTTCCCTTCTTGTTCTTAAGGTGTTTTGTTTAGCAAATTTATCCCAAAGGGTAACAGAAACATATCATTCCTCCTTTAGTCTTTCCTACTGAAAAGAATCAAGAGTTAGGAGATATACAGATACTGGTCTAGCAAGAATTGGACATGACGTCTCTGATGTCAATTCATCGTTCATGGAAGTATATTAATTACTTCGGTCACTACCAGATTTGAGAAGATGATCTGGAGCACAAAAGATATTGTTTCCATTCGCAAATTTGTCAAAGACAAGACAAAACTGTTTTTTCCCTCTTCAGTTAAATGGTGAGATAAATATTCTGTAGCAATGGCCCTTAACAAAAATAAACCCATTAAGAGAGTGATAACTGAGGAAATGTTAAATTAACATTAATAAAACTTCCACCTGTGTGAACTTTTAAGGCAGGATCGATTCTCTGGAAAGGAGTCCTTAAAGTGCAATTAATTGTTGCACAACTAATTGCTTTGTGAGATATAAACTTCATACTTCAGAAGGGAAAAAGCACGTAGTAGAATAAGAAGCCCTCTGGACAGTAAATATTTTAAGCACAGAACTGATGCCAATGCTTGCTCTTCATTAACAGACCTTAATCCATTTCCCAACTTAGCTGAAGATTAATGAAGGTTTAAGCAGTTGATGATGACTCATCATCGTCATTATGATTATTATTAACAGTTTGACTTCAGAACTCGGAGCAGCCTTCTTAGGGAACTGGTAATCTATCACAGCACGTTTTTACTTTTCCCTTTTTTACGTGTCCATAATACTGAAAAGACAAGACTTACCTGTTTTCTTTCCCCGCCCCTTTATCCAACAGGAAACCAAGTTATGTTATGTTGGCAAACCTTGGATGCTCGTTTGTTTGGGACCTGGCAGCATGAATCTATCTGTGCAGCTGCTGTCAATCTTAAAGGTCTATAGCCTTTCTGTATTTTTTTTTACCTGCTCTCTTACAAACAGGAAATGTGGTGGAGGCTTTTGCAATCGCGCTATCAAACTGGCGGTCTCCTTTATTGTGTGCCTCCAAGAGAGGAAGAAAATACTTACATGTGCACTTGCATTTATTATTCACCTGTATGGCCACAGAAGAGCACATACAGGACTATCAGCTCAAATTTGCATGATACAAACCTACTTTTGTAACGCTTGTATGAGACGCATACTCTAAAGCTCCTTATGTGTGGCGCGCTGTTGAATTCAACTAAATTATTTGGATGCCTGTTAGACTTCAGAAACATTTTACCTAGGAGTGCTATTTGACTCTCTACCTCTTGAAATTGCTAGATCAAGTCTGAATGTCCACCGTTGAGAGAGCCCACAGCTTAGCTGAAACAGGACCCCGAGTTCCACGATTGCTAGCTATGGAAGGTCTGTCTAAGACATCGTAATATGCTTCCTCCACTCTTTAAAGGCTGACTCTAGGCCCACACCCAAAATAGTTTGGGAAGGAGACGGTAAGTCAGCACATGGCTTATTGTGTGTTTATGTTCAAAATTCAATGAAATATGCCTGTGTTTGGGTAAAGAAACCATTTTATTCTCAGAATCGCAGTGACTTCTTCCAGAGGAAGCTTGCACTCTAAGAGCTGTCAAAGAGGCTTTCCTCTAACTTCTTTTTTTTTTTTTTGGGGGGGGGAGAGGTAGAGGTAGAGCAAATGGCCTTATTTTCAATTATATATAAAGCACAAGTGGGAAGGGTTGTTGAAGAGGAAAAGTGAAACAGATGGCTATCTTTTCCGTTGTGGAGTAAGTACATTGAAATGACCTTCTGTGTAGCCTAAGAAGCAACATAAAACATTGCTCTTTGGGAAAGGCTCTTATTGGAGAAAATATTCCTTATATTGTGTGTTTATTTGTGATATTGTTACTCTGGATTATTACCTATATATTAACTACCTCAGATCAACATTTAGGAAATTAGGTATCAGCATCCGATTTGGTCGTGCAGGAGCAAGTTATTTGTGATATACTTTTCCATTTTTGTCCAAAGGCTAAACAGACCCACTACCCAGAACTTTACCAGAATGAGGTGAGTTGGTTAGGAGTAATTAATGACAAAATACTGAAAACAGTGGATGTTCTTGCACTTCTTCCTGTTTTGAGGTTGTAATCATCATGATAAATTGCATGAAAAGGACACACTTTAGAGTGGAAACAGTTTTGGCATTTGTCAGCAACTGAAATTAGACACCCTCCTCACAAATATGGTTAGAATTTGAAATTCAACATAGCTATTTTCACACGGTTTAACCAAAAAGCATCAGTCCCTCCCAGTTTGCTGAAAAACAGGAAATAGAACCGTGGCTCCTTTAGTAAATGATGCATCCCATGGTTTATAGTCAAAACTATGACTTTAAATAGGGGAAGAGGTCTAGTGCTGTGAAAGGGAGAGTGCTATTCTTATGTTTGAAAATAAAGGATTTGTCAGTAGCTTAGGGAAGGAGAAAGACTCAACCAGTTAAAGGGACTGGATTTAGCAGTTTCATGCTGTAGGCTCCAGTGAACGAAAGCGTCCTGAGGCCATCTGATGAAAGTACGCAATTCAAAATGAGGTCTCTTGGGAAGGATAAGAGAGACTCTAAATTTGGAGGTACACTGGAAAATAGTGAGAGTTATGTATTGTAGAGATGGAGACAGTTGTTTGTTTTGAGGCTGAGAAATTTTTGATCTGCAGAGGATTCAGAATGAAATGTTTTCAGCCTGAACAAGAAACTTACAGGGAATAAAATCCTCTGGAGACAATCAGCAGCATAACGGACGGGTGAACACTAAGAATGCAGCAGTGGCTTTCTGGGTTTATAGTTCTGGTAGTGTGCTGATAAATCTCTCCAGAAGCAAGTCGTTGTTGTACAGTATCAGTTTTGACTGACTCTAGAAGCAAAATCTAATATAGGACTGGATGTGAGCTTGTTCAGTATTTTGGGCAGCCTCGAAGGGAGAGGATAGATCTTGGATTTCTTTCTTTGGGCTTAGCTCTTAGCTCAATCTTTCTAGGCTTGATATTAGTGTAGGGGGAGAAAAGGTACATTATGAGTGCTTAATCTTTTTTTGTCTTGAAAATATCTGTTGCCTTCTACAGAATGCAATAATTAGTAACCTTAGCAGTGCCTATATTAAGCATTCGTAAATGATAACTCACAATTACCACGAAGATCCTAAAGTTTGTATGTATCTGTAGTATATGTGGAATTGGAAGGTTTACACTCATTTTTTAGAAAGGAGATGTATGGCAGTAACCCAACATGGTAAATATCTATATTCCCTTTCTGTGATGAGGTAGCCGACTGTATCAAGGAAGTTGCCACAGAACATGGAGCTGAGGCAGTAGCTGACCAAGGAAAGATTAAAACACTGCTGACACCCAAACAGGGGATGTCACCAAGTTTCCAGATGCAAGGCCATTACTATGATTTACATATCTAAAGGACTTTTCTGGTTCTCAATGAGCCTTGCAGGATGAATTTTTCTTTTTTTTCTTGTGGTTGCCTAAAATGGTAACAAGCCTCATTTATACAAATCTTCTGACAAAACATTCTTAGCAACTCCCAGCAGTCTCAACCAAGCCTCTGCAATCTGCTGTGCATGAATGGATACCTCAAGGGAAACAAAATTTCAGCCTGATCAAACTGAAAGCCATTTCAGAGTTTGAATTTCTCCTTTCTTGCACCTCAAGAAATCAAAAAGCCCTCTGGAACCGTTTCTCCTTGTCTTTAAAGCTATGCCACTAAAAGGAGATTTCCAGGAACTGCCTTGGCTGTGTCTTAGAAAAAGGGTTTTAAAACTGAATATTGCGTTTTCAACTGTAATTGGAGAAAGCACAAATTTAACAGGCAGTTGACACAAGGTTCCAGTACGTTACATTTGATAAAACCATGTCTCTCATTTACTTAAGGACTCATTTAGGTCAGGCGGCATTTGCAACACCACGCATGTTGCCAGTAAGTTCTATTTTTCTAAGCCTGAAAAATGCATGTTTTTCTCTAACCCACCAAAGGTGAAATAAACTGCACAGCTGACAATGAAATCAGGCCTCAATGACTACTTTCTCTATCACTACCCAAATTACAGTATTGCTTTTAAAAATGATGTCATTTCTGAGGCTAAATAGTAGAATGGAAACCCCCATGCAAAGAACAGGCGATAGAGACACTGATTGTAGTCTTGAAAAGTACAGGTGTTTCTGTAAGGTGTAAACGACATTTCTGATTGAAGTGGGAATTTATTTTTAATCATGAATCTTCTCTGAATTGCTGGGGAAAGCAACTGTAGCAGAAATGCTTTGAGGGGAGCTAGTGCATGGTTCTGCTAAAGTGGAGTCTGCTCTTATTCTAATCTCATGAATATATCAGAGAAGTAGAATTGTGCTTCGAATCTGAGCACTTGGGTCTCCACTTAGATTGCAGGTGCAGACCTGATGCTACTTGAGTGGTAAGCATAAATGAACAATAATGCTGCTGAAGAAAGGTTGGTGTAAAATTGCTACCAGAAGAGATTTAGGCCTTTCAAACCCAGCTCAAATGCTGCAGAGCTCTTTTGGCTCTCATTAGGTTCATTTTGTACTGCACGATAAAATTAATAACCTAATCAGTCTCATTTGTGCATTGTAGATAACGTCCTGAACTTCACTGTTTTATCTTAAACCACTGTTAAGCACAATGCTATCTCATTAACTGCTCCTGAAATTATGGCTCTTATTACATGCCAGGGTTGTAAGTTGGGCTTCCTGTGGGGAAACCACAGATTTTTTTTCCGAACACTACAAAACCTTATTATCAAGGACTATGAACAGAGGTAGCAAGAGAAAACTACTTATCTTAGTAATTCTGCACTGTCAAAATTTCCACTGAAAGCTAAAACTTCACACTTGTACAGCTTTGGGTGGGTTTTTTTGGTGTAGACTGATGTAAGATAGCTGAGCAGAGTCTCTGCATGACTAGCAAAGAGCAAATAGAAAAAATGTTACCTCATCTAAAGCCTGCTGAAGTCAAGTATGGCCTTTCCATTGACTTCAATGTACTTTATTTTGCATTCAGAGAGCTGCTGCATTCCGAGAGAGACATAATCTCTAGTGGTGTTCTTTCAATAGCCACAAGAAGAATGACTTTCCTGTTAAGGTTTACTGTAATTCACTTGCTGGTTTTCCTATTTTTTGTAGCTCTTCTTTAACCCACTTGCGCAAAGCACGTGTGCAAATATTTTTCCCTGGGCAGCTAAAGACCTGATCCTGCAACTATTCCTTACATGAGTCTTCCTAGTGAAGTCAGCAGGCCCCACTCTGTGCTTGGAAGCAAGCTTGCCGCTCTGTTGACTTTGTTTGACCAAAGTGCACAAAGAATTTGCTAATGAGATAGTGTCCCTAAGATACTAAACCGGTGCTTTTAAAATTTACTTGGGACTATCACAAGCATGTCTGTGTGGCTCGTTGAAACATAGCGCAGAAAAGCCAGTAATGTAAATGTTGCCTGTAGTCCTGGGGAAACATCCCCAAATAGCACAAATCTCTTCCTACAATGACAAGGCTGAGCTAATAAACCCAACTCCTCAACCAAGCTCATTCAGTAGAGTGATTAAACTGCCTCCAGATCTGCAATGCGTCCTTCACCCTGCTTAGCCATCATAGTGGGCTTTCTAACCCTTTGCCTCCTGCTTATGTTCTGGCTAGCAGAATGCCAGAAGTTTATTGTCTCTGTTGTGATGAGTTAAACTTTGCTTCGAGTGAAGTATTCTCAAGCACAAGTCTGAATGCTCATGTACTGGCAGCTTCGAGCCAAACACCACCTGCAGTATGCTGAGTGACTGGTGTAGCAGGTGATAAATTGTCATAACTCAGCTGCTGTCTCTGCATTTGAACTCTTAGCCTCTTCCACCAC